TTTCATCTTCCAATTTCAGACCCATATATTAAACTCAACAAAAACCAAGCGTATTACCCAAAATTAAGTAAACCCAGCTCATTCAATATACAATTATGTCAATAAATTGACAAAAACAACCTAGGACAACATAGCTCATGATCTTTTATCAATTAAAAAAGATAAAAGAACAGATTTTTAAGCAAAATAACCAGCATCATCTTACCTTGTGACCTCTGAAGGAGTAGTATTTCTTGATTAATCCAACCAAAGGAAAAAGAAAGTATAAGAGAAGAGACGAGGAAGAGAGAAAACATGAAAAACAATATAGGTATTTTCTAATTCCGAGATCAATAAAATATGGAAATATCTTAGTGAGGCCAAGAAAATATGGGCAATTTTATTGGGGTCAATATAAATTTTAGTGGGGTCAAAATTGTTAATTACTATAAAATATATACATATTTTTAATAATTACGGAATTTTAGTGGGTCAAGTGACCCCACTGAGTATACTTTGGCTACGCCTCTAGTTCCAAAGCCAGGATATCTTATAAGGCTAAGGATGTTTCTCTATTTTGAGGCCCAATTTCTCCACCATTTGAGTAGATACCACATCTTCAAAGCTTTCACCATCAATTATGACGTTGCACACCTTGCCATGAGAAGTACATCTAGTATGGAAAATATTCTTTCGAAGCCAATCATCTTCTAGTCCATTGACAACACTTAAGTTCCTTCGAATAAAAATAGAATACCCTTGATCACCATAAGTGACATCTGCTTCCTCATCTTCTTCATGAACTATAGGTTCAACTTCATTTTTTACCTCATTGTCTTCATTGCTCTCTTCTTTAACAAGTGTGACTATCTTGCGATTAGGACATTTAGAAGTAATATGCCTATAGCCATGACATTTAAAACATCAATGAGAGCTAGCATTCGAAGGAGGTTGTTGCTTATGATCAGCCCCACTATCACTCTTTGTTGTTGCCTTAGAAGTGGATTTCATACATGTATTAGATTTACATTAGAGGTGTTACCCCAATTACAAGTATCATCGCTGCTCACAAAATGTGAGCTAATTTCATGTGCTTTTTTGTGTTTTTTCTCCACTTTAAACGCAAACTTACAAACATGATTGTAAGACCACTAAGGTTGCGATTGCACTACATTACCAATATTTGATCTCATGCCTCCAAGATAATGAGCAACAATTTGTTATTCCACTTCTACAATATCACAGTTTATCATAAGATGATCAGACTCTATTGTATACTCCTCGACGAATAACTCCTTTTGTTTAAAGTTGTGAAACTGAAGAAAAACATTATGCCTATAGTTATCTAGAATAAATTTTCTCTTAAGTTCTCGTTTCATCTTCTCCCAAGTCACAATTCTGCATCTTTCTTCTCGATCCCTTTGTTTTTTTTGATTTTCCCACCATAAAGAAGCATACTTCTTCAAATTTATAGAAGCAAGTTTCACCTTACGATGTTTTGGAGCATCTTTGAAATAAAAAATTTGCTCAACAGTATTAAGCCAATCAACAAACTCGTTAGGTTGCAATCTTCCTTCAAATTCAGGAATATCTACCTTTACATCAAAGTCGTGATGTAGAAATTTGTTCCTTAAAGTCCGAGGATGAGGGGGAGTGTTATCACTAGACGTTTGACTGTGCATTTTGTGAATTACATTGTTATTCTCCCCATTACTGGATCTATTATTTTCTTGGTCATTCTACTCAACATCTTAAACATGGTTCTCATATAGTTATAGACGTTGTTGGAGTTGCTAGATTGTTGCCTCAAATCAGCAATGATGATATCACGTTGATCTCCATGTGATTCATGGTCTTCTACCAATCTTGTTCATGCTGAGAGGTCCCTGCGATGTGAGGTCTCCCAATGATGGTCTCAACCAAATAGAGAACCTTGCGACCTTTACGCTTTTCCCTGTCATCATGATTTTTTTCCCTCAAGGGAATTGGACCATCAACATACTCCTTGAAATGATCTTTTTAAATAAGGTCTTCAATTGCCTACTTGAGAGAACAAAATTCGTCAGTATGATGTCTGATGTCCCTATGAAAGCAACAATATTTCTTGTCGCTCCTCTTTGGCAGGGGTGCCTTCATAGGCTTTGGATATGCGAGCAAGCTAGATTCTTTTGATAAAGTTAGGATGTTTGAGATCGATGTGTTCAATGGAGTGAAGCTGTCATAACGAGGTAGCGGGGCATAAGCCTTTTTGGGCTCAAAACGTTGTTTTTTTCCCTTTCTCTGATCATCATTTGCCCATTTGCGATCATTTCTTCTACTTTTCCTCCAGGATTCATCCCTTCGAATGGGAGCACTGGTCAAAGCCTTGGGGTCGTGGTGATTTAGAATTGCCACTGAATTTTCAATTTTCAGATATATCTCTATGAGGTTGTAGAAGTGAGTAAGGGAGATGTTGTCTTCTGATTGCAGCTTATTTCACAGATTAGTTAGCAGGCGAACTCCTACAATAATTAGAGTTCGCACTAAATCTTCGGGTGTATTAGCCACCTTATTCAGTTCCCTGTGGAATCTGTCAATGTAAGACTTGATAGACTCGTTCTTCTCTTGTCGTGTGTTGCTCAAATTAGAGGTTGACAAAAATACCCGTAACCTGAACTGAATATTTTAACCGAACCAAATTTTTCAGGGACCTGAAAAACTTGGTCAAATTTGGGTAGTATATAATTAGGCACGCGGTTTTTCGGTTTGGGTACTAGGTTATATTTAAAATATAAATCGGGTACCCGAAACCTAATTTTTTTTTTTAAAGTAAAAAGTTAAATCCCAAATTGATTTGCCCTAAATCCAAATAACCTTCTTCTTCGTTTTTCCATTTCTCTCTTTCTCTCGATTTCTCCAATCGCAACTTCCCATATTCTTCTTCATTTATCATTTTCTCTCCACTAATTTCTCTATTTCTCTCCACTAATCTCTCCATTTCTCTATTCTCTCCACTGGTCCCCTGATTTTGCTCACATCTTCTTCTTCATTTCTCCATTTAGCTCACATCAGTTTTGTTTTCTCCAATCTCCACTGATTTCGCTTGCATCAATTCTTTATTTCTCCATTTTTCTAGTTCACAAAAGGTATTTGATGAATTGTCTGTGTTGGGCTCTTTTTATTGTTAAGAATTATTTCTACATTGTTTTTGCTCAGTTGGTTGACTAACTTTTCAATGTTCATGTTGTTTTTGTCTTTTTGATGGTTTTGGCAGAGAAATCTTAGTCCTGCTAGCTGCTAGTGCTGGATCATTGTGATTCATCGCTCTTACTGCTTTTTATATCAGTTTAAAGTCTTTAAGCCTTAAGGTAATGTTTTATAATTAAGCTAGAATAATTTATCATGTTTAGATGAGTTGAGTCCACTGTCAAAATAAGTTGATTATAATCTGTTTAGATGAGTTGAGTCTACTGTGAAGCAAATAACATATGTCAGGAAATAGGAATTAAATGCCAAGAATTGGATGCTAACAAGTTTATGCTGTAATATGCCAGGAATTTTCAATTTAGAATCTGTTTTTGGAACTTGGTTTGGAGTCTAGTATCATATTACTTCTAAACCGTGATAGCCTTGTCTTTAAATTTCAAGGAACTCATTCACATGACATAGAGATAGAATAATGAAATCTTAATTAAATAGAGAAGAACTAATAATGCTACTTTTAATTAAACAAATAAATGAGCCTGCACATGGCTTTTACATTTGAGATTTGTTAGAATAAAAAGAGAAATTTAAGAAATATTAAATTTGTTTGCTTATGAATTTGAATGGGATTGAAATTTTTTATAAAATATTGAATATAGAAGGGACAGTATGATTAAATAAATAAGACATATATTATTTTTATGGAAGTTTATGGTCGGATTATTAGTCTTTTCCCATGTACTATCTCTACTCTAGTGTCGCCACTATTTTGTTAAGGTAATACCTTCAATATATTTGCTTATATTAATATAATGTTAACTGATGAAAGACAAATTGTTTATGACACATTTGTATTGATATTGTAAATGTCCTCCACTGGTGACAATACTAGTACTTCTTGTGGGATCACTGCTAGTGGTAGTCAAACGTCGACCCTGGTGACAGAATGTGAGAGTCTTACTAATGTGACTTCCCCGATGCCTCCACCACCAACTAGAACCCCCAAAGGTGTAAGTTCTAGTACTACTTCTAGGAAGAATGCTTCTGAAATGTAAGACCATTTCACTAAAAATGATTGTGAGGATAGGAATAATATGACAGCTTCTTGTATTTATTGTGGGTTTGTTCTTGCTTGTCCAACTAAAATTAGTACTATCTCCCTGCGTGATCACTTAGCTAGGTGTAAAAAATACCCTTTCAATGTGGTGGACAAGAAATAAAGAGCCTTAGTATTTCAACAGCACTCGGGTGACCACTCAAGTGGTGTTGTAGCTACTTCCTCTTTCGCACATCCTTCACTTGTAGCTTGAAAATTTGATTAGGATAAGATTAGAGAAGTTGTAGCTAAAATAATAATTCTTAATGAGTTGCTCTTTAGGATTCTAGAGCATGAGGAGTTCTGCTATTTGATGAGTATGTCACAACCTAGGTTTCAAGGTCCCTCTTGTAGAACTATGGATAGAGATTGTTTGAAAATTTATATTGATGAGAAATAGAAGTTGAAGTATTTGTTGAGTAAGTCATCTCATAGTGTTTATCTCACCACTGATACGTAGACATCGTTTCAAAACCTTAATTACATGTGTCTTACGATTTTATTGATGATGATTGGAAAATGTCCAATTACTATTCATAAAGGTTTAGTTATTGGCAAGGCAATTGATAGATGTTTGATTGATTGGGGTATTTCTAAGATGTTTACCGTGACTGTTGACAATGCAAGTTCTAACAATATTGGAATACTTTATCTTAAGCATCGATTAGAACGTTGGAATGGAAGTGTCTTGAATAGTGAATTTATTCATATGAGATGTTGTGCCCATTTATTGAGTCTAACTATGAGAGAAGGGTTAAAAGAGATGGATGACTCAATATTTAGAATTCGTTCTGCGGTGAGGTACGTGAGGTCTTTTCCAATGAGATTGCAAAGCTTTAAGGAATGTGTGGTGCAAGAAAAAATTGAAAGTAAATGTCTTCTAGTTCTTGATGTAGAAACAAGGTGGAACTCCACTAACTTGATGTTGGATGTGGCTTTGAAATTTCAGAAAGCATTTGACTTGTTGGAAATCCAAGATGCTAAATATAAAGATGACCTTAGTAGTAGGGAAAGGTCAAGGGGTGTGCCTACATGTACTGATTGGGATTATGCTCAATACTTGTTGCCTTTTCTAAAAGTTTTTTATGATGCAACTGTACGTGTTTATGGCTCTCTTTATGTTATCGCTAATGCATACATGGAAGAGATATATGCCATTGGATTGCAGATTTTGACATGGACTCAAAGTAACGATCTTGGCTTACATTCAATGGCAACAAAGATGAGGGGAAAACATGAAAAATATTGGGCAAATGTTGATAATATCAAATAATGTTATTCATTGCAGCGGTATTTGATCCTACCAAAAAGTTAGAATATGTATATTGGACTATTGATAATTCGTATGATGATGTTAATGCTGATAAAATGAAAACAAAAGTGCATAACACTTTGGTTGCTTTATTTGAGGAATACTGGGTGGTTAAGGGTTCTCCTATTGCGCAGTCAAGTGAGCAATCTCAACTTGCAAGAAATATTGATGTTAGTAATCCAAATATTTCTCCTCAAGCCACTATGAAGGCTAGGTATAAACAACAAAGGGTTAGACAGCATGCTTTGGAGCCCAAATCTGAGTTAGATAAATATTTACGGGATTCATATGAAGATGACGAAGACGAGAATTTTGATATCTTGACTTGGTGGAAGATTAATTTAGCAACATATCCAATTCTTTCTTTAATGGCACGAGATGTTTTGGCTATGCCTGTTTCCACTATTGCATCTGAGTCAGCACTAGGGGTCATGTATTAGATCCATTTCGTAGCTCACTTACTATTAAGATGTTGGAGGCTCTTATTTGTTCACAAGACTGGATTCAGGCTATGTGTGCACCATTCATCAATGAGGAGAGCTTGGTTGAATTATTGGAAATTTAGTCAGGTAAAACTTTTGCTTTAGTTTCAATTATTTAATATTTTGTTTCAAATATTTAATATTTACTTATATTTAGTTTTTTTCCCTATTTTTTTTGTAGAATTTTCGTCGATGGCATTGGACAATACTTGTGGTCATCTAGATGATTGATGATTCTATGACATTTTGTATTGTTGCAGCCCTCGGAAGGTAGAATATGCAATCTCATTGCCTTTTTACTATTTTTATTTTGAATTTTTTAAATTATTGCAGCCATTAACCATTCTATCATTACAATACACTGTTTTTTTAGATTTCTACCATAGATTTTTGGATGAAGAAATCTACCGTAGATTGCTATTGGATATTTGGATTTGGATGAAGAAAGATGTTTTTATTGGATATTTGGATTTGGTGTATAACATTTTATTTTTGTTTTGTGTAAAACATTTTATGTTTGGTTTATATAAAACATTTTATGTTTGGTGTGTGAAACATTTTATGTTTGATTAAAATTTGAGGAAGTTTGAAAGAAATATTACAATTTTTGTTTAGAAGAAATATTGCAAGTTTAATTAAGATTTTATGTTTTATTAAAATTTGGAAGAAATATTGCAGGAAATTCGGTTTCACATTCGGGTATTGGTAACCAAACCAACATTTCAGGTACCCACATATTCGGGTATTGCATAAACCGATTGGTTACCGAGTACTATTTTTACACTACCCGAATATTCAGGTTAGGTAGTAGAATGGCATATTCGAGTCGGGTACCCGATTTTGTCCACCCCTAGCACAAATAGCTGAGCAGCATTGACAACTTCTTGTTCGCCTAGAAGTGCCTCAAGAATAATGAGCTCATTTGCTGCCATGTGTTGATAGACCTTGGTGGAAGTGATTTGAACCAACGTTTAGCATGGGCAATCAGAGTCATTTCAAGCAGTGACATTTTGCCAAGTTCGAGACTTGGTGCAGCTCCATGAGGTCATTAAACTCATAGAGGTGATCCTGAGGATTAGCATTTCCGTTAAATGCCTTCATATCTGGCATTCTGAATCTTGGTGGGAGAGGTGCTGTTAGAACCTTGGGAGAAAAGGGAGACGCCTCAGCAATCACTCCCTGCTCATTTGTTTGAGCTCGAATCTGGTCTAGAGTTCGTTGTAAATCCTCTAGCTAAGGAATCAAGGCTTTTAGAGGATCACTTTCCGCAATCTAGGTGTGTGCCCTACGATTGTAGTTGATAAAAAATCGTAGATCAATGCTTCCCATGCTTTGGCTGGAGCCTTTAGCATGCCTTAACACTTGTGGGCCAAAACCCTGTGAATGTGATAAGTGGTTGGGGGAGTTTTCCCTATCTTTACGATGGTCTAAACCAATGCATTGATGGTGGGTGTTTCCCTCTCGGTGATGGTTGGAACCATCGTGCCGATGATGATGGGAATCTCCACGCCTGGCACATTCATGGGCGTGCTCGTGCAATGTGCCGAGGGACTACCCTAGGCTTGAAGTATTGCCAAGCCATAGAACATGAGTTTTATCTCTTTGTTCATGGGTAGTATTCAAATGCCCTTTTGAGCCTTTCTGCCCTTAATCAATGACGCATTTACCCTTTTGCACTGCAATGCATGTGACACAAGGATGTGCTCATTTCCATATTTTTGCGCGATCTGTAGGGGTCTTTGGTAGTGATACCGCCCTGTCTGAATTTGGCAGTACTACTTTGTCCAAACGTTCCAATCGTTGGTTCATTGTTTGGAGAGTGTTGTCAAGTTTTCCCAAATAATAGATTAAAGCAAGATCCATCTGGGAGGTCAGGGGAATAATAGTTTGGGGAGTTGGAACTCCTTCGGGAGGAGTTTCCTCTTGGTTGCAGGGAATTTTCTCGTTGTTGTTGTTCGTGCTAGGATGCTTAGTTTCAAAACCACGAGCCATGAGAATTTGTGGTTGATCTTCGAAAAAGGAACTATCAGGTCAGTTGAGATTACTAGATAGAGAGTTGATGCCAACTTGAGCCCTCTTTTTAGCGCCAAACCGTTGATGCTTGATTTTGACACCAATGACTTCGTACATGCAAAATGCTAAGAAGTCAGACGTGGGCTAATTATAGTGAGTGGGTGAGGTACTGTAAGTACAATAGCATGTAAGTAAATCGATGGGTAAAAACAACGGAAAACAAAATTATTTCCCATCGATTACTCTGATTAACCCAAGATCAGGGTCTAGTATGTATATATTTTACATGCTTAAATTGAAATAACGCAAATCCAAGCAAGATTAGATTATACCAGCATTTGCAGGCTCTGTCAATATCTCTGAACACTATTTCGCTACCAATCCAAGAGTAGAATCGAACTTACGTCATCAACACGAAGACAGTATGACAGAGACCAAGGATTAACTTTGCCAAAGTTAATACTTGGCTTTAAGGAGTATGGTATTTTGGAAGGATGAAGTGAAGAGAAGAAGAGAGAAGAATTTCTCTCAAGATATATCATCCACCGCTCAAATGAGAGAATTGTCTCTCAAACCTAATTTTCCTTTCTTTATATAGAAAGACAAAATATCCATTTCACGCCCAAAGTTTAGCTACAACCAACTTAGGTGGAATCACACATAGGTCCCTGTTTAATTATTTAGTTAAATAATAATATTAACTTCAATAATTAAATTCGTAATTTTGCTAAATTACTCAAATAACAAAATTGGACACAGACTACAACCTCAGTAAATTTAATTACACTATAAAATTACCAATGTGCCCTTTCATCTTTTAGATGAATATGCCCTTCCAAAGTTTACCATCCTTAAACTGTCTCCTAAGTGTATGACCCATAGACTCCTCATCACATCGACAGTGAGTAGTATCACGATTAACACCAATTAATCGTCTCATTACACACAAACTAAGATTGGCCCCCTAGCAAGGCATCATGGCCACCCGATAGATTCAGATTTAGTGAAATAGCTACTTATCAACGATATGATTACCGTGCAATCAAATCCTTTCATCATCAGTTATCTCATCAAGGCTGAGGTATAGAAATAGTGTCAACCTCAGTTATTCTCAATGTGTTTGTATTTAATTACCAGACCAATGATCGAAATAATAAATTGGATTGGACAACAACTCAATTCCATTGTGACCACAGATTTAGTGTCATTGTCATTTACTAAATTGCGCCGTTAGATAACTTCTCCCGTACCCGGGAGTGATGAATCCTCCGTCGATCCACCATAGTCTTGATAGACTCCCTGATGCAGCCAATCACTACCATATTGATAGCTCTAAATACAACTATGTTAGACTAGTGTCAAACTACACTAATCGGTGCACACGACGCTCTGGTCGTCTCAAGTCTAAGTATCACATACACCACCATTCATGTTCCATAGACACTGGGGTTATCATCTATATGAAATCCTCCGGTGGGTCAGTCCAATTAACTTGCCTACAGCAAGCACCCATGTGTTGCACTAGGTTGTCGGTAAACAACCTCGAAAGTGAGATCAGTCACTGCCTTTCGACAAGGTCATTCAACACTATGATAGCACTATGATAGCCTTACCGTATTATCTGTGTCCTTGGTCAGAATAATACTAGGGCTATGGACATTTCTAGAATGGCCACCATATGTGATCATAAGGTTCTCACTATCAAGATTTGAAACACTTGATACCCTCGTCATGGTTCTACCAGCCTAAAGAGATATGTCAATACATACATATATGATTTACACGATATAGAATGAAATGTCTTTTATTGATCAATAAACATTATTACAAAGAGTCAATTATATAATAATTGATTGGCTGTAGGGCACCTACTCTAACATAGCATGCAAAGACATAAATATAAAGCTGACAAGCTTTATAGTGGTTCAGATGCTTAAAATGAATCCTACATCCATTGTGTTCGTTTATATAAAGATTACTTTCTGATCGCTAGACAAGCTTACAAGAGGTCGCGAGCTGCGATTTGGGATTACAAGTGTTTGGTGTTTTAAGTGTTCTTAGAGAATGTTAACCCAGTCTCTTTCTACTAGTGTCTATGCTATTTTCTTTGTTGAATGCGTGAATGTCTAACCTCTATTTTATGAAGGGGAGCTGCCTATTTATACCCGTTTAGCTCAAGGTAATGATTACACTTTTACAAGTGGCCTGGTGTCGTGTTGATCCCTCCTGCGTTCCCATTCGTTGAGAACTCAAAGAATATCCTTAAATTAAATGGGGCTTAAACAGTTGAACCAAATTTACTCAAGCACAAATTCTTAAGTCAGTTTAGGTCTGTGACAGCTATATTCCTTTTGCCTTTGGAGACGTGTCATGTTATGGACGGTGAAATGGTTTCCTAGATTGTGATTGGTGCTTGATGACATCAGCATACATTAGCCCTTATTTTAGGCATAACGTATCTGAATCTTTAAGTATCATCCCATCCATGTAGGGTGTATATAGGGTATATCAGTAATATGCTTAGATGGCAATTAAGAAAATGGTTAATGTATGGAATGTATCATTGTAACTTTTGTGATGTTTCATGTGTTTGGGCATACAACAACAACCAAAAAAAATAAATAAATAAATAGTCATAGATTAATGTTCATTACATTGATTGTCTACTTAATATAGTACAATACTAGCCAAATGAAAAGGTGTAGGATTATAACCTTTTTAACAAATTCCTTAGATACTCTATGGAACAGACCATTTTATCTACTTCTACACAGAGAACTTGAATGTCAATTTGTATTGCATTCAATATGGCAACTCCACATATCTCATCTCCATCTAGAAACCAAAAGTAGTAGTATTGATGCCTTCTACTGATGCTTGATTTTGACACCAATGACTCATACGTGCAAAGTGCTAAGCGGGCTTAGAAGTTACACGTGATATGG